TCAGCCTGTCTTTTGAAATTCTCTGAACCAATAAAACTGCTCTTTCACCTTATATGTAGTATATAAATTATTTTCTTAACTGTTAATGACCTTTTGATGGTAGTCCCAATATTTGAGGAATTGTTAAGATGGAATTTTTTCTGACATAGTTATTACGATTTTCAAGGTCCATTTCATCCCAATAACTTAGGCTGCCAGGAGAAGGTCCAGAAATGCTTTTAATATCTGTGACAGTTATTTAACTACATTCTACTCCTTTAGCATCTTCTTCTACCTTTATCTCTGAGAATGGGCACTATAATGTGCACATGTTTCTTCATTGTGGTAACGTTCAAGTTTGAGAAAGAGATCATTAAAAGTAACTGGTTTTCCTTTCCTTTTTTGTATCTAGGCATAGTGCAGAGGTTAATTAGGAAACTAACAAAATAAGGATTCTGAGATTCAAAGATGCCAAACTGGTGTGTGAGAACCATTGGAAGAGTTTTCCAGTTAATAGGTGCTGAAGGGAGGTCCTTGCAGAACTTAAGTCACAACTTAAGGCAGAAGAAAACCGAATAAAGAAGAAAAGACACAACATTAACAAGAAGGGATTAAAAAGCTTTAAAGCCTGCGTGGTCTGTTACAAGGGAGATTAGGAGGTTAGTAATCTGTTAGTTAGTTACTCTAGATAGGGTAGATGTATTGTTGTGATGGGTGTGATATGGATTTGGTATACTTCTAAGTACATAAATACAGCTTGTCACGTATCAAATGGTGTTAGAGTTGGTTTTCTGGACAAACGGGGTTGCCTGAAATTCGATCCAGAGGGCAGTGATGGAAACATGATTGCATGAATGCCTTGGAGGTCTTGAGCAGACGATGGAGCTTTGTGAGACAATGATGAAAAGGGCGATCTCACACAATTGGAGCTGAATACTCATGACATCAGTGAGCTGAAGAATCTATGAGTAGAATTGAAGCGCATATGGCTGAAAAGAATTATAAAGACTATTCCTCTGTGCTTTCGAGCACCACGGGTCTTTCCTATTAACACACGTAGCTAGAAAATACATGAAAATAAAACTCTTGACAGTTGTTCAAAAAGACCCGTTAAGAGTTTAAAACTCTTGATCATTTGCTCATAGGGTTTGTGATGACACCATGTCATAAACCTCTTCAACTTGAAAGCTTAGTCTGTTCAAATCTGAGTCCATGAATAATTTATTATAAGTTCTAGCATATACATATATAGACAATAAATAACTTTCCGTTGATATTTGATAAATATTCTTCGCTGCAATAATGACCATCCCAGATGCTAATTCTGTGGTTTTTGTTTTTTCTTGCTGCAAATGATGTTTTGCATTTATTTGTTAAATTTGATTTATTTGTACTGGTATAGTTCACTATCTTTGAAGTCTTGCATTTGACGTAATACATTCTCATTTGACAAGGCGTGTTCGATATTTCAGGCTCTTGACACCTTCAACACTGCAATTGTGTCTCCCATATATTATGTAATGTTCACAACACTCACAATCTTAGCCAGCGTAATAATGTTTAAGGTATTTCCAATTTGTTATGCTGTCAAGTGTTGAGGATGTAGAAGAATATCGTCTATAAGTTTGAATTATTAGCTCAATATCAACTCACCTTGTATTTACAGGATTGGGAGGGCCAAAGTTTTGGGACTATCGCATCAGAAGTGTGTGGATTTATTGTTGTGCTCGCTGGCACCATTTTGTTGCAGGTGTCCAAGGACTATGAGAGAAGTCCTTCTTTTGGAGGTGTGTGGAAATCTACTCCTACCGTTCAACTCTATCGCCAATATCAACATTCTACTCTTTTATTGGACCTTGATTGATTATCGTCTTTCACTCTACATGTGTTGACAATGTGCATTGCAGGTAGCAATTCTGCAGTTTTATCGCCTTCATTTTCTACCCTACTTTGTGCTGGCAATGGAGAATTCTTTAAGCTAGCTGATGAAAATGCGGCCCCTTCTGAGGTTATGAGCTTAAGAAGACAAGAATCACATTAGATGGTTTCTTTTCTTTTTTTCTTTTATTCCATTCTGTCACAGTGGAAGAAGGCAAAGCGTGAACTCTGGAGAATCCAAAGGAAAGGTCTGTCGGATGGTAATGATGCCACGTGGCAATTCAAGTAGTTCTGAAATCATAATATGATGGGGAAATTCCTGAACACATTCTGTTCATAATAATGTATGAGCATCTCAGGAATTTAGTGTCATGGATTTTCCAGTTTCGAAGATGATTCAAGAACTGATATGTTGCAGTCGGTTTCACATTTGTACACTCTGTCCATAGTTGCTGGGTTCTGATGAAAAGGTTTGCCTTCCTTGTGAAATTTAGAAATAGGAAAAGAGTTATTGGATTTGTTTAAAGACTAGCTTGATTATGAGAGGAATTGTTATGAAGAAGTGAAAAAAAGTGATTAGGGCTAGAGATTACCTCGGCTTTTGTTTGTAAAGTATTGAGGTGTACAGGGAATCAAGCAGTAATTCTGTTCATTATATTTGTTTCCCCCTTGTGAAAAAGAAATATTCTTTCTCATGCATCAATTTTTATTGTTGAAAATGATTCTCATAGTCGATTTTATATACTCCCACAGATCCTTATTATACAGACCATTCCCTATCACAATACCAACATTAAAACTTATCCCAAGGATAAAAAATTTCATCATTAAGACTTATCCCAAAGATAAAAAATTTCATCATAAGATTGGATTGTTTGCATTGATCATTACTTCAAGAAGGCAAAACAGATGTTTGGACTGGTTTGCCCATGAAGCATCTCGATTTAGCTTTCATGCTATTAGCTTATTTATGACTTTATGTTCTTAGCTATTTTCTTAACTTTTAGGTATGATTTATTGCTTTAACTATTTTGTGTATTACAAAGATATGCAAACATTATATTTTATAATTAATATTATTATTTTTACTATATCAAGAAGATATTTGAACTCACTACTTTGCACTTATAGTTTTATCATGTTTTACAATAGAGGCTTTTATATATGTGTGTGTGTATTATTTAATATTTACGAGCAACAAATATGATTATAAAACTGCTGGTAAAAATATTGTCATAAAACTACATATCGAGTAATACCTCTATATAAGCTATATTTTTAGCCAATGCTTAAAAATACTTTTTTAGTTACATAAGAAATGGACAGTGTCTTTTTTTAAAGTGATCAACAACACAACTCACACATCTAGGTATTAATGTAGGGTTTGAATTTTGGATCTCACGTCTGTAAAAAGATGGTGTTAGTGTCTTACTGATAGGACAACTTGTTATTAGCAGAGATGGATTGTCTTAACAGAGTATATAGAAGTAGTCATTTCACTGTATTTATGGGGCACTTTAAATAAAAATAATTCTGTTTAAAATGAAGATAATGTTAAAAAAAAAAAAACACAGAAATTTTGTCCATATGGTAATAATTAGGCCAATGAGGTTTCCTTAAAAATGTCAAGAAGGGGACTTTCGAAGGAAACCGTTGTTGTACAGAAGCAAACAGATTGGAAGGCACCTTGCAGTTTCCTTGTACCTTCCTCCCACCCTTTGCCTTTGTGTCTTGTAATTCTAATTCTGAGAATCATCATCTTCACAATAAAAACGGAATAAACGGTATTTTTCCGGAAAATAAACAGAAGCTATACTGTTCACAAGATATTTTAATAGGGAAAAGGACAGTTGCAGACCCTGTTAAAGAATTAATGACATTTACAAAACTCTAATTTTTGAAATTTCATGGAAGAACCAAGGTCCTTTGTTGCAATTAAAAATTATTTTATTGGACTAAAATGCCCATTTGATTAGTCACTTGTAAATATTTAAGAAGTCAGTTATGGATTCATGGATAATCACTTTTAATCAAGATAGTCACTGCTAAATTTTTGAATAATCAGTTGTAAATGTATATTAATTTTTGAAAAGAATAATCATTTGTGAATAGTTGGAAAATCAGCTTTTAATTAATAGATAGTCACTTATAAATTTTTTAATTGTCAATTGTGATTTCATTGTAGGTAATCACTTGTCAATCTATGTATAATCACTTGTGAATCTTTGAAAAGTTAGTAGCACATCAATCTTATTACACAAAAGTCATAAAAAGCAATTGAATGGTGTCATCTTTCTTATTGGTCAGATTGCTTTAGCCTAATATAAATTCTGTTTTTTCATTGGTTAGTTTATTTTAATATAAGGTCATCTTTAAATAATGTTTCTGATTTGTTGAACCAACTTCAGAGCTTATCATCTATATACTTTTTAGATTTAATCTAGGTGATTTAGATTTATAATTTTTAACTTTTTTTTTAAAAAAAATATTTTAATAGATATATAATCTAAAATACAGGCAATTTCTTAACTATTAGTTTTTTAAGAAAATAATTTTTTATTTAAAAAAATACCTATTGAAAAATTATAAATTTAAATCATAAAAATTAGATTTGAATGATCTAAAAGTGATAAGCTCTTACTCATCATTTACATGATCAGCACTTAAATTTATTCCGCTCTCATTGTAGAAGCATTACCATTGGTTAGTTTTTCATTTTTATTTTGAAAATTTTTCTTTCCATCCTCGTGTTGATTTTCCTTGTGTTGTGGCACGCATAATTTATTCTTTCTCATAGAAGCCTCCCCGTTTAGACAACTTCTCATTGGCCAGTATTTAATTCCATTTATTTTATTAAAAATGTTGATTTTTTAATTTCTCTGCCGGTCAAACCAAGTGTTCGTTGGTACAGGATATCGTGATATTTTGTTGGTACAGGATATCATGAAATTTGATTGTGCCGTTTCTTGTTAGGAACTTAGGCGTAATTTTCTCTTATTTTTAATTGAAACAGAAGATCTGGGTCTTTTTATGAGATTTTAAAAATTAGTAGCTTGTGATTATCAATAATCCTCTGATAGGTCTGCAGCTGTCATGTTCCCTATTTCTTAAATTTAATATTAAAAATTTAAGGACTTGAGGACGAAGAAATTTTAAACTTAGCTTGGATATTTAACTTGGATACCAAGTCTCGTCTCTTCTCGGCTGTCAGTTTCATCCTTCTTCTTCGCGAGTTCAGCTCCTTCTTGATTTTATGGCTAAGCTGGAAGCCAAGCTGGGGATGATGATCGACTCCATCGGTAACTTCTTTTCCGGTAGAGATCAGCTGCCTTGGTGTGATCCTGACATAGTCGCTGTAAGCTCATGCTTCTCTTCAATGCCTCCATCCACCAATTGATTGAATTAGTTTTTGTTTAATTTGAATGGGAATTCGAACATGCGTTAGGTTTCCTATGGTATTTCGTCTTTGTTAGTATCTAGATTCTCTGTTTCTGCTTTGCTTGTTCTGATTTTGAAGCCTTGTTATTGAACTTCTCAAGCTATCGATCGTTCCCTGGAGCTGCAGGGTTGGGTATTTTCTTAATTTCTTTTTCTTTCTTATAATTTTTCTTTTAAACCTGATGTAATTTGTAATTTTCTTTCTTTCTTTTTCTTTTTGTGGGTGCTGGTGTTAAATTCAAAAAGAGTTGTCCTTGTTATATTGAAATGTGTTGGTTTGACGAATGAAGAATTGATTAATTTTGGCTATTTTTAACTCAAAATATAATTTGAATGTGAAGCTGAGTCTTTACGAGGATCAAGTAATATGGGAAATTTTTGTTTTGCATATAGCACCTAATAAGGTGAGATAAATCGTAGATGTGATCCTTTATTCTTATGACGTAACCTAGAATGAATAACGAACTTCAAATATGGTGCTCAAAATAATTTCATCTTAAGATAACGTTCTCTGTTGCTAATTCCTAATTTATCAAACTCGCATCTTTGGATGTTTTTATTTTCTAGCCCGTCTTTGTGATTGAATTTTCATATTTGCAGAGGATACATTTTGTTTCTTTCTACTTTCTGCTGTATCTTGCTGTGGTAAAACTGCAGCTTGCTGCTTGTCAAAAAAAAAAAAAAAAATCCTGTAGCTAGCTGATGTTGCCACGTCAACCAAAAATATCATTTTGGGAGTATGCAGTAGAATTATGTTTGTTCATGCTACTTCAATTAACTAATTGGTTGTTTCTATCTGCCTGACTTTGTTGAACGCTATTATAATTGAGTGCATAAATTTAGCTTAAACTTACAAAGGTTAGATACCTAGCATTTCAAGAAGAGTATCAACAGTTGCAGTCATGGGTGCATCTTAGCATGTGTGCGTAGGCACGTGTGTGCCCATTTTTTAATGGCAGATTTTAAAATTATAAATGCCTCTTTTACGTCTTCCACAAAAGACTGAATTATGCTTTATATGAACATGATTGCCATTCTCAGCCGAGTAAGCTAGGTCCTTCTTGGGAGGAGAGAATAAAAATTGAGGACTTGATATTTTTCTTAAGGAAAGGCAGGAGACCAAGTAAATTATTTTCTTATCATTAGGACGACATATTCTGAACATAAGCCATATTTGTGGGTGCGATGCCAAATTGGTCCTTTCCCTCTTGCTTAATGTGGGAAATCTGGTTTGAGTCTTTACTGCCCCTTTATACATCATATTTTTATTCTTTCTCGTAGTGCTTATTGATATTTGTGTTGGCCATGTCTACATCTAGTACAATTCTCTTGATTTCAAGATCATAATAAAAAAGCATAATACTAGATGAGTTACTTGTGACAGTCAAATTTAGTTGAATATGCTGTGTCAGCGTGTGTGCCTGCTGGATGTATCATTTAATGTTATCATCATACTTTTCTTTTCTTACATTGAATTTCATTTCAAGCATGTTTTTCTCAAATTTCCTTTTTGACAACACTTTTTACAGCATGTCTTTGTTGATAGTCACAGCATATTTTTCTGCTGGATTTTTTTCTTATCGGTTACCTCATCTGCTTTCTAAATGCACCTGCAGGCATGTGAAAGAGAGGTTGCTGAGGCTGGCTCAGATGACTCTATGAAGGAATGCCTCTTGCGTTTATCATGGGCCCTTGTTCACTCAAGACGACCAGAAGATGCACAACGTGGGATAGCAATGCTTGAAGGTAGCCGTATATGTGTGCTGGGCATTCACCCAGAGAATTGATTCACTTGCTGACATGCATGCACATACATTCACTCACAGTCTTTATCCTTTAGGTTTTTAACAAGGAAGTCTGTATAATTTGGTTTCAAATGGATGAATATTCAAATTGAGCTACTCTGCTGTCATAGATGTATATCTTGTTTTTATTCTTGCAACTTTTGTTAACCATATGATAACATGTATGTGACAGCATCTTTACCTGGTACAACTGACCCACTGCTACAGAGGGAGAGGCTATATCTTCTGGCTGTTGGGTATTACAGAAGTGGTGATTATTCAAGGAGTAGGGATCTTGTGGATAGATGTCTATTGGTATGGCCTTCTGTCTCCAGAGTTGTTGGTTAATCTAGGAAATGGAAGTTCTTTCAGCCCCTCTAATATTTTTGTCTTCTTGGTCAACGTGAACTCCTTTATCTAATTTTGTTAATCCTTTAGAGATTGTTTATGCATAAATGTATGACCAGTGACGAATCTGGGCCCCCCAGGGCTTTTACTTGTTAAAAAAATGTTTAAAATTTTTTAGCCCTCCCAACCCCTCTCTTATTTTCCAATTCTTGCCCTGACGTATCTAATTCTAGATTCATCCGTGTATGATTGCCATCTCTATCTTGAATTATGTTGTTTAAGATACAGAACTTCATTGATTGGGAGAGAATCTGAATTCTATTAACGCAAAATGTTCATTTACCTAGGAATTCTTGAGCAACTGTTTCTGTAATTGGTGCTTTCCTTGTTTGATATGTCTGCTGAATTTGAAGTTAAATTATCCGCCTAAGAAGATTTGTTTTGAACACTTGTTTGGTTGATACTAGTTCGTTACTTTTATATAGCATCCATGACCAGAAGAAATATATGGATTTATGAATTTGTTCTCTTCTCAAATACTGAAGTCTGATATATTAATCTTGATAGTTATGAAGGAAAATCTGGCAGAATTTATGTGTAATTTTGAGTGGTTTTGAGGTATTATGTTACAAACTTGGCAGCAAACTCTAGTAAATATCTCCTTCAACTTGAAGATTTTGTCTAGTGCTTTTCACCATTCCTTTTACTGAATTTTAACCGTTGCATGAACAACATATTTTTGTTTTGTAGATTGCTCCTGACTGGAGGCAGGCAGTGACGCTTAAGAAGATAATTGAAGACAGATCACAAAAGGTTTCCCCGCAACTAAGATTTCCTTAAATATTTCCTGCGTTTCTTGTTATTTTGGTGATGGAATCATGATATAGGGTGTCCTTAAGTTTTGTGGGAGGCAATCTCCTTCCTTGGCTATATTAGTTGCACACTACCTCATTCTCTTACTCTTATGGTTTAGTGGTTCTAGATCCATAAGGAGAAATTCTTGCGTAGATATATTGCACAACCCTGGCTGTGCAAGGAGCCAATGAGAATTCACCAATTTTCCACATGCAGGGATTTGGTTACAAACTTATTATTCTGATATTCTTTTAGCTCCTTGCATCAACTTTTGCCATGCAAGAAGTACATAAAAATTTCTGAGTTAGAAGTGAGGGGTTTTTGTTATTGATTTGATTTCCGCGCTGATTTTGTCTGTTATGTCCCTCCTCCCTTGTAGATGGTGTCATTGGCCTTGGCATTGCTGCAACTGCTGTAGGACTTGTAGCAGGTGGGATAGCAGCAGCAGTATCAAGAAAGAAGTGACAGAGTCCTTTTCAGTCACTCAATGTTCAAGAAATGTAATATCTGCCGCCTCTTTTTGCTTAATAATCAATAAGAAGTGGAAGAAATGATATGTATGATCTCACTGTTTGACTGATCCTGCTGCTGAGATATGTGTTGTGCGTGTATGTGTATAGATGTTTCTTTTATATTTGACGAAGTTTACTTTTAGTCCCTATCGTTTGCTTTCAGTTGTCATTTTAGCCCCTTTTCTTTCAATTCTGTCAATCTGGCAGGTAGTATTTGTAAAATTCATTCATCATGCTTTCTTGCTTTTTTTTTTTTTGGGGGGGGGGGGGGGGTGGGGTGGGGTGACACTCAATACCTGCAGGTTTTTGTGGGTGTTATAACGAGAGAATTTCCTTCCTTTCGTGTCACAGCCGTATTCGATGAAATACTTTTGAAGGCAATGAACTAGAAGATTTTTTGTTAATAAATTTATTTTTCTGGTCCAGACAGGGAGGGCCTACATTTATGGATGGTGGGGTTCAATACACCTAGAATTTAGGATGTTAATATTTTTGGCAATAACAAATACTATAACAATAGCAATAAGCCTGGGAGGCTTGTTATATGGATTGTGTTATGTCATTGTACTCTATTATTTTTTTATACTTTTAAGAATGTTGTTAATTAAGAGGTCTTGGTCAATAACTTTTTTAAGTATTCTCTTTAGTTTTCCTCTACCATTTTTTTTAATATGGCTCAAAATTATTCATTCTACTTTTTTTATTGGTGTTTCCTGCAATCTTCTTTATATATATTAGGGTAAAGTAGTAAATTTGGTCACAAACTATTTTTCAAGGAGCATCTGGTAGTCTAAACTATTAGATGGTGTAAAATAATTCACAAACTTTAAAAAATGAAGCATTCAGTAGTCTACCGTTAACTTAAGCTAACAGATGTTATGTGGGGTCCATAATGACATGTGGCACGACATAGGTGTGACATGTCAACATAGTAAAGGTGTTAATTTAACCACAAACTATTTTTTGAGGAGCACAAGGTAGTCTCTACTATAAAAAAAAAGAATCATTCAATATTTTTTTTTCAATTTTGACCAAACAGTATTTATTTTCACACTTATGAGGCCCATAAGCATTAATTTCTATATCTTTTTGCTTTTGTTCTCAATCTCGAATTCAAAGTGTTCTTATTTGAAGATATTTACAAAGACGACGCTAACAAAGTAGAAAAAATAATTTATGACTACATTAAGCTAGAATCAAGCTTTTTTCATGCATAGTAAAATCAAGCTTCTACTTCATTAGCATCATCCTTGTGAATGTCTTCAGATAAAAACTTATTGAACCTCTTCTTCTGGAGCTTATGTTGAGAATGAAGGCAAGAAGATTGGAGAAATTAATGTTTTCTGGGCCTCATAAATATGAAATTAAATGGTGTTTAGTCAAAATTGAGGAGAAAGTGTTGGATGATCCTTTTTTTATAGTAAAGGCTGCCCAATGCACCTCGAAAAATAATTCATGGCTAAATTTGTACCTTTACCATGTTGACATGTTGCACCTATATCGTGCCACGTGTCATTGTGGGCCTCACATAATATCCGTTAGCTTAAGTTAATGGCAGGCTATTGGATGCTCCGTTTTTAAAAGTTTGTAATTTATTTTGCAGCATCTGATAATTTAGGCTATCAGATGCTCCTTGAAAAATAGTTTGTCACTAAATATGCACCTTTACCCTATATATTCAAATTATCTCAAATGATTTTCTACCATTTTTTTCTTAATAAGAGATATGTCCATTTTTTTTTTGTATATATTCATTTCAGATTTTATCTTTACGTGTATGCCTTCACATTCATATCAACTTTCTCATGTGTTACTCCAACTTTATGTTCTTGTTACCTTTCAAGGCTCAAATTTTACTATCAGTTTGTTAGGTACTTTTTAGTTACAAATAACACCTTCAATCTTTTTTCAATTAAATCACCCAACTTGTATCTTATATATAATATTTTCATCAATTTTCTCATCATGTTAAATAATAGTTTTTAAATATTTAAACTTATTCACTTGAAATATAATATAATCTTTTAATTTTACTTTTAAATTACTACTGACTTATTTCTTACCAAAATTATAATACAAATATTTTGCTTTACTTTTATTTAGACAGAAACCTTTTAACTTCATAAATTAAGTTTATAGTTAATTTTTGCTTTTATCTTCGTAATAAGAATTATATCATCTATAAAAATTATGTATTTGGCAATGACATCAAAGCATGCCTATGACATCAAAGCATGCCTATGTTGTTCTGCATGCTTTGATGGAAACAATAACTTGAATAGTTAAATTGGATAAGGTTATGTAAACCCTTGACGACAATTGGACTTCTACATTGTGGGTGCCATCTGGCCATATCAACGAGACAATAATGGTGAGGCAATTCACTAGTGATACCCCCTCCAATTTGATTAGTGACAAAAGATTTATTCTCATTAAATGAGTGGAATGTTACTTGGAACTTGAGGCTCTACAGTGATATTTATTTCAGAATTTGTCACTGCCCCATTAAGCTGAACTTTAAATGGCATAGAAGGATTAACTTGAACTCTAGTACAGGATAATTCAGATTTTCACCGAGTTCCCTTTTCTTCTTTTAATCCTTAAAAAAAAAAAAACACAGGACGACTCGTATTTTTTGTGTCATATACTCAAATAACTTATCTTCCTTCGTTCCTGAATGAGGTACTTGGAGATAACGAAACCAAACAGCATTAAAAACTCAAAATAGAGCCTATTAGATCATTGCAAAAATAGTGTATGATCTGCACGCGTTCATCAATTTGCCAGACCACACTAACTGATTTGTCAGACCTCTTTGATGTTACAAAGAGAGAAATTTCTTGTTTGTTCCATCTCTATATCTATTTGACTATGCGTAAGACAATTGGAAAAGTTCCCCAAGGGAGGAGACCTTACATTTATTTGATAATCATATTCAAGTTCAGTACATATGATGGATGTTAGGAAGCTAAAGCTTCTTGTAATATTAGACCGACAGACAGACAGACACACACACGCAAACAGGACGTCTAACAGGTTTGCATCTTTGCTAGCTTTTTATTGAAACAAAGATTCAAGTCCTACAGACTTGAACAGTTCAAAGTGAAGAAAGCTCTTCATAGGCCATCACAACAATTGGACTTCTCACCTTGTGGGTGCCGTCTGACCATGTCAATGAGAAGGAGCGTGCGGTTTCATTTATGAAGCCTTTGCCAGTGATACTAACAACAAAAGACTTCTTCTCATTCAATGATTTGAAGGAAAGAACTTTAGGGTTTACTGTAATATTTAACCTGTAACTTGCTGGTGAAATACTTGCTTTGTAGGTTGAATTGGCAAATCCAACATTTGTCACTATCCTTATGAATTCAACCTTGAATGGTGTGAAAGGCTTAAGATTAACTCCAAGTAGAGGATAATTCAGATTTTTGACCGAGTCTCTATGAGAAGATCTGGGACAAGTGCTGCTATTATCTCCAGAAATCTGCCCAATCATAGAGGTGTTATAGCCAAAATTGCACAACATTTCCACGTAGTTTTCCTTGGATATGTCATAAACCAACCCAGGATCACAAGCTCGTACTGGATCCACATGCCCGGATCCATATTCAAACTCACCAACAGCATCTTTAGAATAAGCTTTCTTCATAGGTTTTGCTGTGGTTAAAATGGCAGATTTGATAGCTGTAAGTGACAATGTTAAAGTTTTATCACAAATTTTCTTTTCTTACATAATATGTTGGCAAAAAAATTACATTAAAATATATATATTCAATAAGATAAAGTTGAGAATTTATTAAATTTTTAAATACATATTTAATAAATTTTAAACGTTTCACTAATTAATTCTAATAAAATATATTAAAATAATTTATAAATAACATCATATTTGAAGGATTATAACTCATTATGAGTCATTGCAACAGGCATGTATACAGGTGCACGAGCAGTGTTGGTCGTTTTACAGCAGGTTCATTCTCTGAAATTAATGTCTCAATAATGGTGACAATTTGGGATTTGATGACTCATAATTACAAATAATTTCCACTAATTTAGTCCAAACATGTCACATAAAGATATAATAGTGTAGTACAAATTTATCAATCTTGGAGTAAAATTGTTTTTAATATTTTAAAATCCAATTAATCATTAAATAGTCTGACCAACTTTGTTTGAGATTTATATTTTTTGGTGACCGTTGTTTAAAATTTATTACTTGGACCATGACAGGATCAATCGTAATTGAATTAATATTATTTTTATAAAATTAAAATATTTTAAAAAATTATTTTTATTGCTGATTGGTTTTTCAATATAATTATTATGATATCTAATTTACTGGATCCTAGCTATTTGAATATTGTCAAGTCTACTTACAGTAATTTTTTCTGCACTAAGATTTTTATTTATATGACAAAGTTGAAATTTTTGAATTTGTTCAAAGAGATCGGATTTCTTACCAATGAATTTAAAACCGAAAATGTTAGCAAGTCATATTTCTCATGATTTAACTAATTAGACTAACAATCAAATTAATAATATAATAATTTTAAATATATATATATATATATATATATTGTTAACGTTGTTCGAGTGTGTGTGAACTTAAAATGATGCAGAAGTCTTACATTGGATAAAATTAGACTTTATAATTAATATATAATAAAAAGAAAGGACTCATAAGCTTGAGTATTAAGATTTTGAGTTAAGATATGATATTTTTTTGCTACTTTTGCCAGTTTTTTCTCTCCTTCTATTTTTGAGTGGTCGCTCCCTATTCCTAACATATATAATATTAAAAATACCAACATATTATTCTCATTTTGCAATTGTTCATCCATAATATATTAAGTTTTAATTTTATCATTTCTTTCATATGTATATTTTTTATTTATCTTATTTGTGCTTTTTAAATAAATGAGTTTTCAATTTTCTTTGAAGCTTAATTCATATAATGTCAATAATCATTTGGCCAAAAATGTCAATAAACAAATAATGGACTCAAAAGTTTACTTTAACAACCTAAAAGGAAGTTACATTACTATTTTTAAATTGAATAAAAAGTTTATTACTAAAATAAGAGGAAAAAAACACAATTCAAACAATCGAACAGGTCTAAGTTCTTGGATAATTTTGACTATATTAAAACCATTCGTTTCAAAATAGGTCAATAAATCAAAAAATGACCTTTTTATATTTGGGTGGTGCTCTGACCATTCAGGTTTTAAGATATTGGTTCTTACCACTTTTTTGGCTATCATTCGTTGGCTATTGATTGGTTTTTGCAATCATTGAGTGTTTTGATTGGTTTTACTAATTTTTATGAGAGAATAAAAATTAGGTCCCAACGAAATTAATTAATGACAATAAGTTTTTTGACAAAAAATTTTTACAAAATAAATTATAAATATCATTCAAACCATTTCAAATAAAATTTTTTGTTATAATTTAAGAGTTACATTTGATAAATATCTTGGATTTGTACTAATATGGATCAATATTTTTAACTTATTCTTAAAAAATTATCGAAGACTTAACTATTATTAATTTTGTGTTTTAGAGCCTAGCTGTCATTCTCTCAATTTTTATTGTTTATCAATTAGATCCATTAATTACTTCTTTTAATTAAATTTTGATATTTGGAATGTTTCTTAGTAATCAAATTAACAATTTACTAATTTCCAATCTAACGTTCATAACATTATTGATTTTTTATTACTTTATCCATTCAATAATATAGCACATTTTTAACTGAATTATATTTCAATGAATTAATTAATTATCTCCAAAGTTATACACTTTTTTTTATGTTTACCCTTTATTTGATAGGGTATCTTCATTTAAAAACCTTATTAAGGCTAAAATACATATAACTACCCTCAACTATGGTCTTTTTTATGTAACACCCCAAACCTTTGAAAATTGATTAAAAGCTTCCTTAGCGTTTTATTTTTGTGCTTAAACATCCTACTATTAACAGGACCGTTAAATCACTAATCCTCATTGCGACGTCAGACTTAAGTTGCCACATCAGTGTATGGCTATTAAATATCTTGTAAAAGATTTTTTTTTCGATGTTTTCATTGTCCTGTATGATTTTTTTTTTGTTCGCAACAAAAATATTTATACAAGAGCAACGATTATACTGCAACTATTAATTCCTCAAAGCATATACCATTGGATGGTTTTCGGTGCTCATCAGAGTAATAGAATTTGGACCATCCATATTTGTATCTGGATAGTTTAGATGTAAAATTTTTATTGTCCATTTTAATTTTATATAAAAATTATGAAAAATTATATAAATATATTCACATCAATATGGATAGTACATATTTAATTTCAATAGTTAAATTTAATATTAAAAATTATAATAATTTTTATAAATTGACTATATGGATTATTTATTTTTAACATTATGTTTATCAAAATAAAAATTTATAAAAAATTAAGGTTACTAAATATAGACTATCTAGAGAGTACAATTAGACCACCACATTAAATTTGTAGTGTCTAGATTAATGATTGACATATGTATTAAAGTTTTTATAAAATTTAATTTTAATAAATAAAATATATATATATATATATATAATTAAAAAATTTTGGCTATTGAAATTGTCTAAATTTTTTCTTGAATCTGGAAATGGTGCTAGCAACCGATGAGCACCTTACCAAAGATGGACCCCATAAAATGTTGTACTTTGGATTTAAAGCATTTTGGGTTTACAAATATTATAAATTTTATAAATTCAGCATTCCTTTATGCCATATTTCGTACCAGTCTTGGTTCAAACAAACAAGGATGTATATATAGGTTTGTGGTTGGTTCCGGGAGAAATTGAAAAGTTAATTTATATCCTTTATTTGTCTTCATAAATGACATTAATATGACAAAAGCTAACTAAAAGTAAAACGTTAAGGAGGTTTTAGATCAAATTTTAAATGATAGGGTAGCACCGGCATTTAATTCAAAGTTGAGGGAAGTTATATATTTTAGCCCATTATTAACAACACCCCAAATTAAGAATATCTTTTGGAAAATCTTATTAACTGTGTTTTAAAAAAACCCAAAATGCTTCCTATTTTTTAATATGATATTTAAAAAATGCTTCATAATATTGAATTGTTGGAGTATTATAATACAAAGGAAGAATCACATTCAGTGCCCGCCAATTGAGAAAAAATGACAGTGAGGGCTGAGAACAATATAAAGCTCAGCATGAACAACTGAATTGTTGAATCTCATCTTGTACGTCACTGAACTATTTATTGTTTTGGGCCCTCATTGACATTTTTTCTCATCAGGTCCTGAATTTGATTCTCCTTAATATGAAGTTCTCTATCCTATGCACTTGCAACCTTTATGTTTATGCTTATGCATAAGAGTCTCTCAAGATATTTGTTACGTTTGTACTCTATTCCATCAGAAATGTGTGGCGTATCTTTTTTATATCTAAATTTATAAGTTTTTCTTAAACTATGGTTTTTAATATATATTTATACAATTATATAATAATTAGTAATATTTGCCTAAATTTTCCATAAATAGATATTAATTAACCGCTTAATTCTCATATTAATGAAAACTTGAAAAATATAAAAAAAAACATAAACATATTTTATTTTTGCAAGTGAAAATTTTTCTATGAGTTGTAAATGCATGGCAACATTGTATGTTCGTTCTGTCAAGAACATTGCATGTTCATTATATATATGGGAACGACGGAGTAATAAATAAATGGTAAATTTATTACTCTTTGTAACATGCTTTGACAAAATTAGAAGAATTTATTAGCAATTGTTCGTTTTAAAATAATGTAGCCATTAAATTCAGAAAATGAATCCATAAAATGACCAACACCACTCATGCACGAAGGCTTTTCTCCTTGTAATTCAAGAAAAAATTATAAATCAATATATGATGCATTAATTTCCAAGGGAAGGTGGACTGATTTTCCTATAATTAATATCGACTGGCAGTCGCTGAGATAATTTTTTTTTTCTTTTTTGCCAACATGGCCACTGAGAAAGTTAGCAACTACAAATGATGAAATATTTTCAAATTATGTAATTAATTAATTAATTAATTATATAGTAATTAATATTAAAACTAAATTAACTTTATATAAATTTAACTATAAATAATATCGCTTATTTGTAGAATTGGCGATGTGAATTTCATTATTGAAAAAATGGCATTCCGAAGGAACTAAACTCCTCATATTAACTTTTTTTTTTTGGCCAAGAACAAGATACTGATATCATCAAACAAACAAGAGAATCCAACCACAAAACAAACAAATTCAAACAAACAAAATAAAAGACTCAGGTGCTGTCAAAAGAGAACATCCTAGGCTCTAGAAAGTCACTATCCAGGAGACGAGCCAAAAGAGGTGGGGGTTGAGCAACCCAATTCAAAGAGCACACCTCAGTACCAACTGCATGTGAGATCCAATCAACAGCACAGTTTAAATTTTGTGAGATCCACTTGAAGCTACAAGAGCTTAATGATTGCTCATGATTCAGAATATTATCCATAGTGGTCAAGCATTTCCATTCAGGACATGGAGCAATACCTTTCACAGTTTTAATCAAAGAGAGACAATCAAATAAGAACAGTACCTTAAACAAACCAGCAAGAACACA